ATACATAAATGCTTGATATGTATCAATGAAATTATTAAACTACAGCATGTTAATAATAAACCATCTTTATTCTTTCATTTATCGATATGATAAAATTCTTAATAAATTCAATTCCTTCTCAATATATAAATTTTACATCATTCATTTCACAATGAGTGCACAGTTGTCATAAGCACATATTATATGTGAACTTAATGTATACATTACGCACGCGTGTACGTTCATACATATATGCAAATTATAATAATCATACTTTAACAGTTATAAATTAATAATGGTATTTGTATTTTTTAAATTTTATTTAAACAGTTTCATAGTTAAAAGAATACAAATATAGTTAAATATAAGTGTTGAAAGTTTTTGAATCGTTCGATCGTTCTTAAAATTTACAAATTTTGTAGGAATATAAATATCGTCAATTTATTCATTACTTGTAAATCCACAAAACTGACATTAATTATAAAATAATACTTTAAAGTTTTACATTATGTAAATTTTATTATCTTTTTTATTATATGAAAACGATTTCATAATTGCGGATATGTATAAAACATAATATCGACATGAAACAATTTATCACTGACGTGAATAAATTCGTGATAGATTGATGAATTAATAAAATTGCATTCGCATCATGTTAATTTCATTTCTCCTTCCCTAGCAAATTGTATTCTACTCTGTACTCATAGAAGTAACATATTAAAGAAAAATTTTATGAATATACACTATTAACAAGTATACTCAAGTCACAGTATTGGCTTACATTTATGGCGAAAACTCCTTATTGTGTACTTATATGTAATAAAAATACATTATGTCAATAACCATACCGGCAATTCTGAGTAAGAAATATTTAACCCTTTTAACGCCACTCCCGTATATGTACGGTTCGATGCAACGCAGAGTCCGTATATGTTCATACCCGAGTGGAAGCATTTGAAACATATGTTAGAAGGTTTCAAAGAGCTTTGAAAGCAAAGATAAAGCATTTTTAACAAATGAAAACACTAAACAACATGAGTGAAACATCTGTTTCCCTTAGAATTGTAGCAGTACGACTCTGCCACCATATCCTTGCGTCTTACACTGTTTAAATTTCTCCATCAGTTTTTTGTAACTGCACCTCTTCATCGTCGAAATTTTTACCCATTGTATTTTTTCCTTTTCTTCCTTTTAACAGTCGTCAGATTTCGCATAGGCTTGGTTGACTTATATGCAGATGCGATTATCAGATCCGCATAAGATCTGGGCACACATTCTTCAACTCCTTTTGAGATTTTCCAGATTTTTCAATACTGTGACTTTATTATCTATCTCTCTTTATTCTCTTTTTTCCCTTCTCCATGTATTGCCTTATTAATGAACAAATTTTGATATTATAACAATTTATTTATCTGTGCGCGATAAACCACATTTGCTGAATCGGTTTTACTCATCTTGTTATTGTTATTTTGTTAGTAAAGTAAACGTGAAAGACAAACTCTGTCTCTATCACATCTGAGTGTTAATAGGATGATATGCTCCAGTAGAGCTCATATGTCTTGTAATGATAAAATCAAGTAAGTTGTTACATTTGTGTTCTGAAGAAGAATGTTTCAGTAACGAAGAAAATAAAGATTATAATTACTTTGACATAGTCAAAGAAGCCCAGCAAAGCCCAGAAAGCTGCAGTGGAAGCAAAGAAAAGACAACATCACTACTAAAATGTCAAAGAACTGCAAAAGTGATACAAGGCACAAACTTTATTATGGCAACCAGATTTGTTTACCCCAACAGTTTTTAAATTTAACAGTAGTAATACAAAAATTACTGACAACAACCTGACTGAAGACACTCCAATTCTGAATTACTTTTTGCGTTTCCTCACCAATACCATAGTGCAAAATATAGTTGATTACACAAATGCTTATCATAAGAAGGTAATTAAACAAGGGTTACCCCAATATTCAAATTTAGGCAAATGGAGTGATGTAAAATTGTGTGAAATATATGTGTTCTTAATACTAACCATGTTGATAATAGGAACCAACAAATTAAAAGTAGAAAACTATTCATCAATTAATTCACTACTATGCTCTTCCTTTTTCTCACAGACCATGGCTGCAATAGATTTATGAATATCTTGAGTATTCTGTACTTTTGCAACTCACTTGTAGACATTAACAAAATATTGGATAAACTAAAGATGTTACTTGACAGTACTAGGTCCTTGTTTAAATTAAAGCTACTACTTTTCATCAAAAAATAAATTATTGTGGCACTGTAAGGAAGAGCAGAAAAGGAATGCCAAGTTGTCAAAGCTTCTAAAAAGAGGTGAAGTTTGAAGTAAACACACATCAAATATGATGAAAATAAATTGGAAAAATGAGAAAGATATTTATATACTTTTGACCATGCATGATGACATAACAATTGATACAAGGAAAAAAGATTGTAAGATCAGTGACCATAATAAAACCACAGTGTGTGCATGACTACAATGAAAATATAGGTGCAGTTAATAGAATCGATATGATGTTCATTGAAGTGTATCAGAAAGTCCATAAAATGGTACAAGAAACTTGTATTTCATATTTTTGACCTTATACTGCTGAACTCTCATACCCTTTACTGAATAAAAACTGGAAAACACATCTCTCTGGCAGACTACCACCTTAAAATTATTCAAGAATTATTAGAAAAATTTTGCAATAGCAAAAACAAACATCCATGCTGGAAGATCAGCAACTGATTCACAATTGTGACTTATAGCTATATATTAACCTACTACCTATCTAGTTAGCTACTACTCATCTTTTACACCTCCAACTGAAAAAAAAAAGAACATAATCAAAATGTGAGAAAAGAAAATTAGAAACAAATCTCCATGTCTTTCTCAAAGTGAAACATTATTAGAAATGGTACAATTACTACAAATTAATTTTGAATGGCCCAGAATACAAAAAAAACATTGTAACAAAGTTTATCATGTATTGTACCTTTTACACATGCAAATCCTAAAATTTCACAGTTCACACTTTCCAAAAATTTGGTATGATGAGACTGTCCATATAAAATAAAATGTGGCAATGAAAGAAGGATAAAGCTAGTACTCCAACCGCGGAGGTAATTTATGCATTTGGATCTGTTGAAAGTTTTGAGGAATGGTCAGATCTACGTAAGTTTTGACATAGCGTCAATTGGCAGGCGGTTGACTATAATCACACAAGTTCTGTGAGCCGACGGATGAGAGATGATTAATATTCCTGGCTACTATTCATTATTAACTAGAGACCCTATTTTCAATCCTGAAAGCAAGGGATATCAGAATAGATTGGAGCCAATTTTTGTCTTTTTTACAGAGGCCTGCAATGGAAGTCAGAACATATTATAATACAATAAATGGTTTAGTTTAGAAACATAATATTAATTCAAATATTAATTAAAAACATAAGTAGTTTAGTTTAGAGATCTCTGTATCTATCCAACAGATTACTGATTTCTAAAGATAAAGCTTGCATAGTTGATTGAGAGAATAGTACTCTTATTAGAGTGGTCTAATAACTAGATCGTTACAGGAGTGGGTCATGAATTCGACTATCTGTAAAACACTGTGTATTAGCAGAGATTGCCAATAGATGGGTGAGATCGAATGTTTTACAGTTGAGGCTCATGTGTTGGAATTTATGGTTTGGGACAGCACGAGCAAGCGGTTACTGTAGTATCACTTCAGTCCAAAATTGGGCTTTAATCATAACATCGCCGGATATGAGACTAGAGATTGCTCTCGTCAGCTTTTTCCTTTGCCGCGGTTTGTGATTTGATAAAGCATGACTTAGCAACTAATAACACATATCATTTATTGAAAGCACCTACTGGAACGCGAAAAACCACTGTCTTTGTGACTACCTTGATGCATGGTGTTCTATACATATAATACTCGAATACTGCTCCTTTAACCCATGGTCTCGGCAGTGAGAAGCGCATATGCTAAGGTTATTCAGTGTCCTCTGTTCCGGTGGTGAAAGAAAAAACATTTTTATGTCAGAAAATAGTGTAGAGAAAGGAAAAAAGGCACCAAAAGCGATAAATGAAGAAACTTGGTATGATGCCATACAAAAACAAATCAAAAATAAGGTGGGGTCCAAAAGGACCACCTACTATACTATATTATGTCGATATTGAAATTGTTTACAGTTTATAAATAAAAATTTGATGTTACATATAACAATTTCAGTAATACTTTCCTTGAAATGACTCAAATTTCTTTTAGAAGTAACAACTTTTGTGATGTGCGTCTAATATGAGTGTGTATATATTATTTATTTCTTTCATATACACACACATGTGCACACATAGTAGTATAATATTACAATTATGTACATCCACCCTTATATTATGCACAATTTCCATTATGTGCAAATTATTTGAAAAGCTAAAGTTAGCAATAACACATTTAAATAATTATGATTTTGAACTATATGTTGAAATATCAAAATAGCCACCATTAGATGTTAAACATTGTTGTGACATCTATATTTTTAATTTGCACTATAATATATAATAAATCAATTATTTTCTAGACTAGAATCAACCACATACTAATATTATTTCTAATACACGTAAATACGTGTAATGCTCTGTATTTCTCCCATCTTCCTTATTTGTCAATTTAAACTTTCACACTAAAGCTGAATGGAACTAATGTATAAAACATTGCAAATTGTCTATATATATAACAACATTTATAAGAATTACCTATATATTTTCTTTTGTACAATATAAATTCCTTGGAACAACTCTATGATCTGAACTCTCATTTTTACATCATCCTCTATTAACAACTGTCAAGTGACACGTAGTTCTAGATCCTCCACTTAGCATATCGTTGATACTTTGGTTCAAGATGCATTTTCAGTTCTTCAAATTCATCAATTTCATCATCTTCAAAGTCATATAAATTATTTTCTTCATTATATTTTCTGTTTTCTATTTCTATATCTTCAATTTTAATAATTTCTTCAGTTTCCTCCTCCTCTTCTTCTTCTTCCATATCATTTATTTTATTTTGTGCTACAAAAATCATGTCAAGAATTTTTAATATATAATTCTATAGTCTCATATTTTTACATCGATTTAATTTGCAGTGTAAGCAATATTCTGATACAGTAAAGTAAAATATTCGTTATTTTATTTAATTTTTATAATACAATATAA